CTTCTCTTCCAAGCAGCTGGTGACCCTCAGAGAGGTCCCATGGCCATAGAAATCCCTGCTGCCGACCACGGCAGTGCAATGAATTGTTAACCAACAGGATCTGTCAAGTCCTCCTCAGGCCCGTCCATCTCACCAGCAGGTTTGAGGAGAGCACCACCTGGGCCTGCATGCTCTTGACCACTTCCCCCGGAGCCCTGTAGTCACACGTCATACTTCCTAGGTCACCCCTGGCAGTATCATTTGTGCCTACGTGGAAGAGCAGGGGGAGGGACAAATGAGCCTCGGTAGCCTCTCTACAACATCCCGAATACATGCCCTTAGCAAGCAGGAAATCTACCCGGATGACAAATTAGGCCAATAGATGTGGGCCCCAGTAACTTTCACTCCTCACGCTTGTTAATGGCCTTTGAGATCCGGAAGGTGCATCTGCCAGTGCTGGAAGTTAAGAAAAGTGGCAAGTCTTTTAGTTTCCACGGTTTTACTATTATTTTCCTGGGATGCCACACTGGATATAGCAAGGGAGGCAGTCCTGGGAATTTGAATTTCCAGTGCAATCTGCTAACCATGCTTGCTGTTGTTATTCCAGAAGGCCTGGGGGCTCCTGGAGGTGACACGCTGCCGGCAACAGGCTTGGATGGTGGATGGGAAGAGAAGACAGATCTGGGGCAAAGCAGCTCCTACGCCACGAACAGGTCATGGTGTTCCAATGCTCCTCCCAGCAAGGGCTTTCCCAAGCACCTTCCTTTCTCTCCTGTCTGCCACAAAGGGTGGCTTGATGCTTTTGAAAGACAGTTCCATTTTATTCTTCCATACTGGGGAAAATGCTATTTAATCACCTTTCTAAAACAGTCCAAGGTAGCCAAGTAATAGGTGCTACATGAGTGCATTTCCAAATAACTGCTTTCAAGAAGCCCTGGGTTTGTTCTGTATCATCAACATTCGTAACTTCAGGTCCACAAACTCCTCCTTGAAAGGTCCCAGACTTTGAAAACTAAAGAAAAAAGTATCTACAGGAAACTGCTGAGATAAGCCTCAATACAAACACGTTGTGAGCATCGACTGCTTGTCACTTAGTGATTCCATGCCTGTCAAAACACAGTAGATTAACATGCTTTCAGTTTATCCTACAATGAAAGATGGGGCTTTTTTCTACCAGTGCAAATCTCAGCTTCATAAAATAATCTCTGGCACCTCTGTGGTAGACTGACCTCATGACAAGCAGAAATGGCAGACACAGAACACAATAATAAAGACAAGGAAGTTTACAGTGCTGGTATAGTGTTAGTATTCAAGGACACATAAAAAACCTCTGCTTTAGAATTGAAATGCAAATGCATCCATATTTTTAAAGGTTTTATTTTGCCATCAGGCAAAGAAAGGCATAAGAAAATCACTTTTTAAATGTTATTTATAGTCCAATCCTTTGGAGTTCTATTGCAACTGATACTTGGTCTCATTTTCTTCCTGGGGGACACAGCTGAATGGAATTTCCTGTAGAGTAAAAATCTGTAATTGAACTTAGTCTAGCACTGATTGTAAATTATGCTGCTTTTTAGTAGATGTAACTGAAAGAGAACTGATCTTCAATAAATGCCCAAATGGTCTACTCAGAGTGGACCGTTTACAGAGTACAGTTATGGGAGTACGACAGTCAAACAGGCTGAAAGCAACAGGTTGAAAACAACCTCACATCCATGCTGAGCAAGATGGGGATGCAAGATGGCTTCAAAAAAGGTCAAAATAACTTCATCAGTATGCCAGAGGAAAATGACTGTTTTTATCAAAAGACTTTTTATTACCATTTGTCAGAGGTCAATCCACTTGAGGTCAACAAGTCAGGTGTGATGCTGTGAAACCTTGTTTCTACCATTCTCATTGCAGCAATTCACTATTTCCTCTCACTATTTCCATCTGGCACAGCAAAACCAAGAGCACCTCTTCTTTGGCCAATGTGCTCCCCTTTGAAACTCCGCTCTCTCTTACTAAACAGGATCTTGCAGCAGCTGGAATATACCACAAAGAGTGTCTACACAGTTTGGGTACCCTTTCTTCATTTTCCTGTATTTTTGGCCAATCTTTGTAGCTTGTAGTACCACTAACTGTTGTTTGGGTTTTTTTCTTCTCCTATTAATTTAGCTAAAAAATAGACAACAGCAGTTTCAAATACATAGCAGAAACATTTCTTAAGCACATCAACTAAAGATAATAGTGTCTAATACATTTCTGAAGCAAGAAAATAAGATGGATGTTCCAGGCACAAAACCTGCATGCACTTAAAAACAAAACACGTGAAAAAAGAGAGGCACATACATCACTCTTGAAACCTTGTATGGCATATGTACCAATCAGATCCAAAGTGAATATAAGCACAAAAATGTAATTCTAGTTCACAATATGGACTTGTACTCTTTATACTGATGCCTTTTCTGTATAGTTTGACTGCATGCTGGTAATTGGTTTACTCTGCATGTATCATACTAGTGGGCAGAGGCCATTCCTAACTAACCATAAATGTAGCAGAAAAGACATGTAATGATCGCAAAGGAAATTTATCAATGCAATTTAATCTAAGTCACACAGATAAGAGCAGAGTAAATCAGCAGAATTGCTAATTACATTGGTTTAAAGTAAAACATTTGTGTACATGTAACTGTTTTGTATTACACCTCTGCTGATATCCAATTTCACACATTCTGCTGTTTAGGCTCTCTACTCCAATACCACAAACGATTTCAGTAAAAGAATTCTTCTCTGCAATTCCTACATTTTTGCAGGCCAAACACCAAGGTTGGGAGGACACCTGTGGGAGAAAAGCATACTGGTCTTCACGTTTCAGGACATACACCCACTAACAGTGGCCTTGAATTGAGGAGGTCTCTCTATAAGTTCTGAAAGCAAGTGACAGAGAGGAGAAGTAGGAATAAATGAGGGAACACGCACATTAATACAAGAAGAGGATGTGGAGAAGAAAAGGGAGGTGCAAACATTTCTACATTTCCAAAAGTATTCATTGCCTCACAGACCGCCACAGATCCTGACTGAAGACAGATCTTAACTCTTCTCTCTCTCAGGATTTCAGGTAGTGTAAATATTTATATCAAAATAACTAGCTTTACTTTGGAAGTCTTAAAATTCATGTTAAATTCTTTGGAACTGAGCGGTTAAATGATGGCGTAAAAGTAACGTGGGGGAAGGGAGTGCTCATTTTTTAGTACAAAGCGTAGCCCTTAGGAAAACCCTGTGCCAAGGCACAGTGGTCAGAATGCAAGCCCAGGTTGGGCAAAACCTACACAGCCTGGGAGGGCAGAAAGTTTCCTCACCTGTAGGAAGGGTGCCTTAATCACCAGGCTACCAGTGGATTTAGGATCAGAGGACTGAGAACAGGCTGCAGGAGACAATACACTCCTACTAATCCTGGAATTGAACACACAAGACAGTGTGACTCTGTAGCACAGCGTTTTGGATGCTCAGCATGGGGTGTATTGGTTCAAGCCTCTGCTTTATTAATATCAAATACCTACTGGATCAGGCATCCAGACTTTTCCTTTCCCAGATGACTGAAGTGGCTAGTAGACCAGTGAACCTCACAGAAACGCACACACGTTCTCCCTCTCAAGCCTGAGAAGTGCTTGATTGCTCCATGCAGATTCAGTTCAGGTACTCTCTGGGAACAGGAGATGGAGATGTTGGTTTGAAATTCTTCAGGCAAAAATGTTCAGCTCAGCCCTATTCCCTAGATATGCTCTGGGAGTATCAGCATCTCCAGGCACAGCACTAAGAGATATCTGATTTGAAGGTCCTAAAAATGCTTAAGTATGAGCTAGGCTGCAGGGCATTCAGCTCTGAAGCACTCCTGAGAATGCTTCAAAGCAGTTGTGGAGCCCTGGAAAGCTTTGAAATCAAAACTCGAGGATCCAGAGGCTCCAGGCATTTCCAACACTGCATGGCAGCTGGCTTTGAGGACTGCAGTTTTTCATTTAAGCATGTAAATTATGGGTGAAGATAGATTTAAATGTCCAGTTGCTTTTCTTGATCTAATGCTTAACCTTTCACGTGATGCCATCTGACTTTAGTCAGGGGTCTAGAAGCACTGACTTTAGTACATCTTTTAGTAGTCCTTACACTGGTGAAGACAATGGAAGTTTCTGAATTTATCCTAATATTTGTCAACAGTATTAGATTGATCTAAAATATGCTAATAAGAAGCACAGGGTTGTTCTGGATCCACATATGGAAAATCAGTTTAATCCTGGGGTTGGGTTTTTTGTTTGCTTTGGTTTTGTCCTGTAAAAAGATACTTGGAAAAAGAAGCAGAACAAAGATGGAAAATCTGCAGGTTCTGATAAGCCAAGAGAAAACGAGGGAAAATTTGTTGTTGTTTAAAACAGGAACTATTTGGGGTTGCATGTAAGATACAAGAGTTTACTTGAAAAACAGTAATTAACAAATCCAGGTACAGCTTCCAAATGTGGGTTTACCTACACTAAGAACATATAAAAATCTATAGATCTCTAGTAGCCTTCAAGATATATGTAGTGAATCACATGAATTCACCATGCTTTTTTCAGCAGAAAATAACAGCATAGGAAGTTTAAAGAAATAGAAAAAAGCTCAAAGCAGCACAGTGAGAAATGATTCTGTTTCACTCCCTCAGAATTGAAGAATAATTCTATGAAACTTAAGCAAATGGGTTTTTGAAACAATTTTGGTCTGTGAAAACATTTCTAGCTAAAATCATGCTCATCTGGTGAAGAATAAATAAAAAAGCTGAGGACGTTGAGGAGTGATGGGGAAGGGAGAAATAATGCAGGTCTTAAAAAAGAGACCTACTACCTGACTGTACTTGGTCTCTGTGCAGTATTTTACCCATTACAGGAACACCCTCACTCTGTCTTTGAGAGGGTGCAGGCAATCTCCCACTAGCAGCTTTGTACTTTTTAAAAGAAGTGAAGAAGCAGTCATCACCTCTCTCTGACACTCATTTGTCTCAGGCTGTATCAATGGAGTCTCTCTCAGCGTCAACTAACAGCTTCACTCTGGACCTTTACAAAAAGCTGAATGAAACTTCCAAAGGCCAGAACATTTTCTTTTCTCCTTGGAGTATTGCCACTGCTCTCGCCATGGTCTACCTGGGTGCAAAAGGTGACACTGCAACCCAGATGGCTGAGGTAAGCTCTGAAATTAGCAGTATATCACCTTACAGGTGGTTCCCACATAAATTGCATTATTCTTCTGCCTATGGGGAACAGAAAGGAACAACATGGGAGAACAGTGACCTGCCATAATGCTGGGTACAGGAAATAACCCCACTCACGCTGGCAGCAGTCCTGCAGGTCACTGTTCTTCTACGTTATTTCCAAGATCTCCCTGCTCTGCACTACTCCTATATTTAGCTTACACTTACAGTTCCCCGAGCATTGCAAGTAGTCTGCCAGAGGGAAGTTATTGACATTAGAGACTACTGCTGGTCTTGCGTGGAACTCTACCTTCTATTTTAATTGCCTTTTGAACTGAATAATTCACCTGATATAATGCTCAAAGAGTAATAAAGAGACAGCTTTATCAGCAAAATTAATATGGAGATAAGATAATCTAGAAAAAGGAGTGCCAGAGATAAAACCACTGCTTCTAGACCCCAGCTGGTTCTGGAAGCAGTGTATCTGCTTTCTCATACTGCATACTAAAGTTAGTAAGCTCTCCCAAACACGTGTGGGGCTGCACAGGGGCAGTACAAATAGTACAAATACCTTTGCTTGTGACATAAATTAGTTAGTCCATAAATAAGGTAATCCTCCCACGAATAATGGAGACATACTCGTACTGAAAATATGATTTCACTTATGCCTGCTTTTGCAGAATTTTTCAGTCTTGTTTTAGGTTATATGCATTTACTTAAACACATTAAATGTATAATTTTACATTTCTGTGCTGGTAGTAAGACTCTGAAGTGCACTATGCTCTTTGTTGTGCTTGGCCATGATCTGAAAATAAATGCCTTGTAGCCAAGCATGAACTGACCATTTATCTAAATAAATTCATATTTGAGCTATAATATTGATCTACCATTAAGCAGTAAATGTAACTAAAATCTTTATAGTAATGATACAGTTATAGAGACTAAATCAAGAGTAAGATCCTGTCCCCAGTAACTTTTAATAGATTAACTGTCATTGGGCATGACTGGTGAATTACATAGAAAACTAACATAATTACATAACCTTTGGGCACATTTATGTTCAAAAACCAAACATTTATCATCATCACAGGTTCTTCGTTTTAACCAGACTGCAGGAGAAGAAGGTTCATCTGAGACAACAAGGCCTTCTCTGGGGAGACCAAAGAAAAGAAAGATGGTATTTATTACAACAAAAGACTCAGAGAAAAAAATATCTGAGAAAGGGATAGTTCATCACAACTCCTGCTTTAGCCTTCTAATATTTGCTTGTCTTCAGTCCATATCTACTGCCTCACTTCAGTAAGAACTATATATAGAAAGAGAAAAAGCGAACAACCAGGTATCGTTACCATAAAACTCATGAACTCAGCCCTTCAAACGCAGAACTGAGACACTAACAGCATTCTGATTGGTCCTGTGTTACTTGGTTTTAGCTGGTCTGTGGCAATATCAACAAATCAATTGTCCTAATCTGCTTAGGAAAATTCTATCTCTTATCCGCTTCAGGGTTTTCTTCTGTAGTGAAAAACAACTACTGCATTCACACCTGACTCCAGCCTTATGCAATCAACTCCCTTCCACCTTTTTCATGCATGGAAGCATCAGGCAAACAAAATTCCCCTTAAAGCTAACACATGCTGATTCACCCTTGTTCATCAGCTCCCCGGAGACTTGCCACCAGGAGGAACTGCCCAGATCTTTTTCATCAAATGAACTCCCTAAGCACTGAAAGGCTTGCAATCTCAAACAAGCCATGTTTCTTCAGCATAGAAACTAAAAGAAAGCTCAAAGAAACTAGATTAGACAAACTGGAAATAAAAGGGGGGAGGAGGTTATATCATTCTCTCCCCAGGTGGCGGGGGATGAATCTTCAAGATGAATCATTACATCCACATTCATTTTCGCAACTCACTGACTTTCTGAGTTGTAGCAAAGTCTGCCTAATTTGGTCCTTCAGACATTTCCCTCCATTACCTCTTCAGTCTGTTCCCATCCCCTTGCAAAACCCAATCTCTCCTATCCTGTGTCCTCTGGCTACCGAATTCTTTCCCAAGTGTCCTTCCTAGCAGCCCATGTCAGCATGAGTGAGAAAAGACCAGAGCAAGGAATGCCACCTGACCAACCTTATGACAAGTCACCATGAGTCAGTGGCACAGACTCTCAGTGTCTCAAGTGCAGGGCAAGGTATATGACATGGAGGAAGAGAATGCACCCAAGCAGCTGGAGGGGAGCAGCTGACAGGTAGCAGCTTGTTCCTCCATTGGTGAAGCAACAGCTGGCAACAGCTAGCAAGCAAGCTCAGCTCCCTAAAACCATCAACACTGACATCCAGGACAAGCTCTCTCCAAAAGCCAAGCAGCGACAGCAAAATTCATGTGAAACAGAGAAAATCTGCATAGTTGGTAAGTCCATGCCCTGACATTAGCGTCTGTCAGAACAGAGCACCTCCTCAAAAGCCACAAGGCTGCCTTGATGCGTCCCTGTCACACTGAAAATTAGGCCTGACCGTGACTGAAATGAGGAGATTCAACTTCCTAAGTGCACCATCAGCTGATGTCCCCAAAGGCCTACACAGCGCTGCAGAAGCAGATCATCACCCTACAGACAGAAAACAGTCCAGTTATACATAATGCTGCAAACATGCAACACACTCAAAAAAGAGCTCCATCCCCTGAAATTCCTTTTTAATTAAAACGACCTGGGCATTTTAAATAACCACAGCAGGTGCAACACTTCAGACAGAAAAAAAATATTCTGTATTAATTGGTGTCTCTTTCCAAGGATCCTGAGCACAAGCAAGCTGAAAACATCCACTCTGGCTTCAAAGAGCTCCTCTCTGCCATCAACAAACCCAGAAGCACCTACTTGCTGAAGAGTGCCAACCGACTGTATGAGGAAAAGACCTACCCGTTACTGCCCGTGAGTTGAACATTTTTACTCAAGAATATTTTGACATTAAGAGGGATTGTCAACAGAGATGACAAAAATTTTCCAAATCATAGCACTGTGGTTTCAGTGAGAGCATGAGGACAGCCATAGGGGGCTAGCCTTCCACAGGCAAGAGGTCCGTTTGTCTCCAACAGTGGTCAACAGTTTAGGAAGTGTATGGGAACAAGGCATGCTGTGTAGTGATGCTTCTCCAGAATCTGCTCTGGTCACCAAGCCAACTGCAGCTCAGGGACTTCCTGAACCAGAGGGCATGTCTACTTAATAGACCTTGATGAGCCGTTCTTTCATGAATTTGCAGACTTGCCTTTTGAATCTATCCCAACCCTCAGCACCAGGAGTTCCACAGCTGAACTACACACTGTAGGAAGCGCCTGTGTTTTTTGAGCCTGCTATCTGTTGGCATCATTATTGGTTCGTTTTTCCTCCAAAGGACGCTTCTCCATATCTCTGGTCATCCTCGTCCCCTGCCTCTCTACCTTTTATACTCTAGCATTTCTGAGACTGGGGAGGCCAGAGCTGCATAGACAATTCAGACAATGGGCACACCATAGCTTTACACAGTGGCATTCTAATATTCTCTCTTTTGTTGCCTACTCCTTTCTTTGTAACTCTTAAAATTGTATTTGCCTTTTTGGCCACTATTGGGCAGATTTTTTTCATGCAGCTGTCCATCATAGCTTCAACACCTCATTCCTGAACAGTAATGATCACTCTCTGTAGTGCACCCTTCACTGGATCATTTATAAATGTTTTAATATATATATTTTAATGCAAATATTTAGACCTGTATTTTACAGAATAAATATTTTAGCATAGATCCCTGCAGTAGTCCAGTAGTAATAACCCTTCACTGTGAACACTATTTCCTCCTACTCTTGGTTTCCAGTTGTTTAAACAAACAAGACCTATCTCTGCAGTCCCACGGATGCTCAGCCTTTTTTGAGAAGTCTTACGAAATGCCTTTTGGTAATCCAAATAGACTGTAATGGCTCAACCTTCTTACTCATATGCTTTCTGACACCTTCAAAAAACTCCAACAGATTCGTGATTTAGGACTTCCTACTACAAATTGCTGTTGGCACTCCTCCAATACGTCATGTTTATCCATACGCCCACTAGACCTATTCTATTAATTAGCCCCATACAGACTCATGAGTTTGTAATTACCTGTATCTTTGAAATCTTTTTAAAAACTGACATTGTATTAATCATCTTACAATTTCTTGGAAGGTGGTTTTAAATAAGATTACTGTTCTTTGATCTTGGAGTTTGTTTTGATCTCCTGAGTAATAAGTAATTTGTTCTTCTGAATGCTTATTACTCATTTTCTCCATAATCTCATGTACCTATGCTTTACAGAAAACCTAGAGAATTTTCTGATGGGAATTTCCATGAACTGTTTCACAGCAGACAGCAATGCAAACGTTAATTCTGCTTTTCTGCCATGACTTTTTTCTACCAGAATGTTCCCTTTATTTCTGATTCTCTATTGTCCTCACAAACTTTTGGCAGGTTCCTCTCCTCTGAAGCAAACTAAAAGACTTGTTTCAACTTTATATGAGACTATTCTTCCCTCTTGTACCGAACTCTACATCACAAAGCAGGAAAAAAGTATTTAAATTATATAAAATGTCATTTTGAGAAACTAAAAAAAATTGTGAAGAATGTTTGTTTCATGGGATATTTCAAAATTACAATTTGCACTTTGGATTTCAAACACAAAAATATGAAGTATCAGTTTCCTTGAGACTGAAGTTTGATCAGTCCTTACTTAATATTTAGCATAGAATGTATCAGAACTTATGTTAAGGGTTACCCCACTTCAAACAAATCATATTTTCTTCAATTATGTATTAGCAGATTGTATACTCTGTTGAAGTGATTATTTCTAACATTTTTGTAACTCAAATTTAACTAAATAAGCATACATTTTCCAATTCTATCTTTCAGAAATTCTTACAGCTCATTACAAGCTATTACAATGCAAAGCCACAAGCTGTAAACTTTAAGAGAGCTGCAGAACAAGCCAGAGCACTGATCAATACGTGGGTTGAAAATGAAACTGAGAGTAAGTATCACTTTGATGGCTTTTTTCTTGTCTCACTTTCATTTGTATTTCCACATTTATTGCTCTTGCAGCCAGGGATCCATAAAAGATGGAAAGGGGAGGTCAGGAGCAAAGTGCAGTTAAATGGCTTGAGGAATGCCTCTCTCCAAACCTAACTGCTGCTCCTTACAAGGTCTCTCCCTTGATTCTTCATGCCATAGTCTCTTCTGAATTATTTCTGTTCAGAGGGAGGCACAGGTAGATACTGAGTGGCTCCACTCTGATTAGGGAGGGTTTTACTTCTGCATTCTTCAGCTGCTTGCAACCAACTTCACAGAACATCTAAGCTATTCCACTTTACCCACTTTCCAATGCCATTTACTACCAAAATTGCAATAAATATATATATTTAAAAAAAAAAGAAAGATACAGAGATACTTCAAAAGCCATTTTTACCATATGTATACCGTGAAAAATGTACAGTAAAAAAATCTCCCAAATCCAAACATTTTTGCTAGATGGGTAGGCACAATTAAAATTGGTGAGTTACACAGTCACACTGGAATAACAGTCCTATTTGTCTGATTTTGAAGGGAAAATCCAGGATCTGCTGCCTGCAGGATCTCTCAATTCTCGCACTGTATTGGTCTTGGTAAATGCCATTTATTTCAAAGGAAACTGGGAAAAGAAATTTCTGGAGAAAAATACTTCTGAGACTCCCTTCAGACTGAGCAAGGTAAATTCCTTGTCTATATGTCTATTGTCATATGTCAATATGTCTATTACTGAAGAGCAAGAAACCTCTAAATATTTCACCTGCATTTCATACGCCACTGCAACACTACTCATAGCTGGGTACATGGTATAAACTCAGTAAGAACGGCAATCGTGAAAATAAGTCAGCATTATCTTATTTATGCATATCCATGAGACTCCGATTTTCACTTTAATTAATAGCTTTTCAGTATCAAAATACTTGAGAATACCGTGGTTAAATAGCTTAAGGACAAGAGGAAATTTCCGTAAGTACCAAGGTCCCATTTTCAAAAGGGACTGAATTGCTTTTGAGAGCAATTCTTACACACCTACATCTCTATTCTGCTTTTGAGACACAGTCTATGCTCTTGAGTTCAAGGAAACTGAACCAACTGTTCTTTCCTCATGCACCCTGCGTGTTACGTAAAACCTCAGAAGGAATTTTCATGGGCGTTTTTCATTTTAGCCAAGTGCGTGAGGATGATGTATTCAGTATGCACTGAGAGCACGTTATCGAGCTAACAGTATTTAAATGATCACGCGCTGACGATTCACAGTAGCTGACTGCATGCATATTTTTGGACTGCGTCAAAGGCAAGCAGAATTATTTGTCAATGGAAGCATGTATCTTGTTTGACATAGATTACGCGTGCAAATACCTTTTGTATGCCAGGCAATGTGAAGTGATTGTGTCAAGGTTGTGACTCTATATCTGAAACCTACGCTACATGTGCAGTTTTAGGATCTGTCACGGTACATGGTTGTGGTGGGCTGACTTTGGCTGGCTGCCAGGTGCCCACCAAGCTGCTGTTATCACTCCCTCTTCCCAACAGGACAGGGGGAGAAAAATAGGATGAAAAGCTCATGGGTCGAGATAAGGACAGGGAGATCATTTACCAATTACCATCATGGGCAAAACAGACTCGACTTAGGGAAATTAATTTAATTTATTGCCAATTAATCAGAGTAGGATAATGAGAAACAAGACCAAATATAAAACACCTTCCGCCCACCCCCCCTTCTTCCCAGGCTCAGCTTCACTCCCAACTCTTCTAGCTATCCCTGAAAGCAGCGCAGGGGGGTGGGGAATGTGGGTTGTGGTCAGTTCATACACTTTGTCTCTGCCGCTCCTTCCTCCTCACGCTTTTCCCCTGCTCCAGTATGGGGTCCCACTCATGGGATACAGTCCCTCATGTCCAACGTGGGTCCTTCCCACGGGCTGCAGTTCTTCAAGAACTGCTCTAGCATGCGTCCTTACCATGGGGTGCAGTCCTTCAGGAATGGACTGCTCCAGCGTGGGTCCCCCGCGGGGTCACAGGTCCTGCCAGGAACCTGCTCCTCCATGGGCTCTCCATGGGTTGCAGCTTCCTTCAGGGCACATCCACCTGTTCCAGCACGGGGTCCTCCATGGACTGCAGGGTGGATATCTGCACCACCATAGTCTTCACCAGGGACTGCAGGGGAATCTCTGCTCCGGTGCCTGGAGCACCTCCTCCCCTCCTTCTTCGCTGACCTTGGTGTCTGCAGAGTTGTTTCTCTCACATTTTCTTACTCCCCTCTCCCTGCTACTGTTGCGCAGCACTGTTTACCCTTTCTTAAACATGCTACCACAGAGGCGCTACCAATGTCACTGACTGGCTCAGCTTTGGCCAGTGGCGGGTCCATCTTGGAGCTGGCTGGAAATGGCTCTGCCTGACATGGAGGCAGTTTCTGATGTCTCCTCACAGAAGCCATCCCTGCAGCCCCCCCGCTATCAAAACCTTGCCACCTAAACCCAATACATTGGTGCACAGAGAGGGTTTAATTCACGGGGTACCTGATACAAAGCCTGCAAACATAAACTTTTTCACTCAAATGTAACTCAAAGGTATAGGAGAGAGTGGATATACTAGTAAAAGCTCTGTGAACATAATACAGCATAGGAGTTCAGAAGACTATTGGGTAATCCAATGTCATTTGGTAATCCGTTCCTCTATGGTTTGGGGAAGACAAAAGTCAACACAGGTCACAGAAAATATGGTTCAGAGGCAAAGAGAGACAAGCAGTATTGCCTGAAAGTATAAAATAGGCAAAAGAGTTGATGGCATCCAGGGGAGGCAAGTAAACATTTTTTCCCCCCAACCAAGGTCCTCACTCCAAAAATGTAGTACCTGGTAGTACTTACAGTAATTACTTGCTTATCAAAGCTAACTCCTTTATTTTAAAAAGAGAAATATATTACATGTAATTCAGTTAGCAGGTAGATACCGTAAGTGCCTATGCTGATTTTTTCTAAAGATCCCAATGACTTTGAAAGGGGGGTATATGTGATACTGTCCAAAGGAAAGAGTACTGAGTATCCAAATGCTGCTGAGTCTTGTATTTGTTTACAAATTTTTGGTTTCAGTTCAATGACGCAAGTAACCTTTATCCATTTTAAGGAATGAAGTAACACTATTTTTTATGTCTGAATTTTTTCACAGACCAAGACTAAACCAGTACAGATGATGTTTCTGAGAGATACATTTCTGATACTCCACGAAACAACCATGAAATTCAAAATCATTGAGCTGCCATATATGGAAAATGAACTCAGCATGTTCGTTCTCCTACCAGATGACATCAATGATAACACTACTGGTCTAGAGCTGGTAACACTGACCTACTGTTGTTGCATCACATACACTATGAGACAGTAACAGAAACAGATGAAAAGAGTGAGGAAGAACGAGCTTCAAAATCACGGTAGAATAGGTTGTGATGTGTGCATACTTTGTTTCATAAACTGTAATGCCATGATTTCTCAGCTTAGAATTCAGGGCATCTGATAACATTGCAAACATAGTATTTTACTTAGGGATACATCTAAAAACTATGTCCACACAACTGTCTTAGCCTATTTTGTGCCCTCTTTTCTATTGCCAAAATAGCCAAAGAAAGCGAGGACCAAATCTGAATCACCTAGAGTTATCTTCTCCTGAAGGCTGTATTAATTCATTTTTATGTCATTTGCAGTCCGGATTTGCACCTGATATTTTGTGGTGAGGTTTCTCAAACTAAGTAACCCACAAGGTATCAACAGCCACTCATGACCACACCAGGATCAGTTTCAGATTCTAAACAGATCAGGGCAAACATCTTTTTATTTATACCTGAAGTCCCATGTGTTCCACTTATTTACCACTACTAAGGGAAAAGCTATCCATGTACACACATAGCAAGTGCCGATTAATATCATTATGAGTCACGCATTGCAAAAAAGCGTGAAAAAAATGAACTACTCTGAGAGTTCAGGCCTATACTTCACCACCTTTAAGAAAATAAACAGCAGTATAAGTCACTCACCACTTTGCAGGATCATGCCCTATGAATATGGCGCATGTTTCAGCTGTACCCACTGCCGGTAGCTAGGCTTTGTTCTACCTGTTCTTGATGAGCATTAAGACACTGGTGTGTGCATGTCTTGTCTCTGTCCTTCCAACTATATTCTTTCTCAACTCATTGTAGGTGGAAAGAGAGCTGACCTATGAGAAATTGGCTGAATGGACCAAATCAGCCAATATGATGAAAGCTGAAGTGGATCTGTACCTGCCCAAGTTGAAGCTGGAAGAGAATTACAACCTTAAATCCACTTTGAGCAGCATGGGGATACGAAATGCTTTTGACCCGGTTCAGGCTGATTTCACAGGGATGTCAGTAAAGAAGGATCTTTTCATCTCAAAAGTTATTCACAAAGCTTTTGTAGAGGTCAATGAAGAAGGTACTGAGGCAGCAGCTGCCACAGGTGCCCTGGTGCTGAGATCAAAAGCACCAACAATGACTTTTAAAGCTGACCACCCTTTTCTCTTCTTCATCAGACACAACAAATCACAAACCATCCTCTTCTTTGGCAGACTCTGCTCACCCTAGTTGGAGTTACTCCTTACCCCACAGAGCAGGAGATGCTTGCTTGCCATCTCAGAGGCAAACACCAAAAACTGAAACTCCTGCTGCAACTGGGGGGAGTGGGACCTGAACCCTTTCTCCATTAGACCACACACCTTAGGGCCTGTGGCACAGCTCCTCCTGTGCTTGTCTCCTACCCCAAAAGGACAACCATGACAGTAGGGAGTGCACGATACCTTGCATCCACAGAGCAAGGTTGCCATTTAGACCAGGCCATCAAGGGTAGCTCTGTCCCCTAAGCACTATTAGCTATAGCATTTCTATCCCTTCCCCTCAGCGGTGTACACCAATGCGTGCTAACACAGGCCCTCTCCTCACCCTCATGCCTAGAGCCCCTGATTCAGATGTGGTCTTAGCACTTACTCCCACCCTGCTCCTGTTTAGCCCTTGATTAGGTCCTTGCATTACAAATGGAGGCAGACCCTCCCTACCCATGGGCTGTGGCCATTCCCTTGCCTTCCTTCCACATCTCAGCTGCAAGTCTTCATCAGCTCCCAATTTCACCTCAATTGGCTTCACTCAGACTCTGAGGCATGTGAGGAGGGGCCAAGCCTGTATGGTCTCTGGCTACATAACACCTCACTTTTGTTCAAAACAACCCCCACTTCAAAAATAATTAATAATAATAATAATAATAATAATCATCATCATCATGGTGGTGTTTTCTGTCAGCTCTGCCACGAGAGAGACGCAAAGCTGGAAAATCACCGACTGTGGCGAGGCCCGCGGAGATATAAAGTGGGGGGTGAGGGGTAAAGGAGGCCGTGAGGGTTCTCCGCTGTGCTGGGCGGCGGCCATTTTGTCGGG